CATGTATTGTTTAATCATTTCCTCCCAAAAAATTGGTATCAAAACCTTCTCTCAGACAGTCAAATTTGAAAATAAGTTTTCTGAGAAGTGTGCCTAAGAGATCTGAATGCTAAACTCTCTCAACGGAAACTCACCTAAGTTCATTCATAAATTCACTGAGGAACATCTTGAAAATACCTTTTATTGATGATGCCATAGTGAAACATGGGTCTTCCAACTTTTGTATCTTCAATATACTATAGAAACAAAGAATACATCATGACAGAAGTGAGCAAAAGTTCACTAAATGAACCGATATAATTGTCTTGGCATTTGAAATAGAAACCTACCAGTTGTAAGGTGACCAGCATTGATGAAAATGCCAAAGAATCAAAAGGAATATCATTAAGAGCAAAAAGCTGGCTTTTTGAAGATTTTGGGACTGGCGAAAAGTGAGGTCTCTACAACTTGGCCAAGAAAATAATATATGTCTGTTCCACATGAGACAATGGAGTACATGAAGATGCCAAGAGCAGGGAAATCAATGTAAAATTAGTGTTAGGATATTTCTCATACTTGGCCTATAAGAGGGATGTCCAAATGAGCAAATGGTGATAAAACTTCCACGTCTGCATTTGCCTCCTTCCAGGTTTCCCTAATTGCTCCTTCAGCGGTGGACTCCCCGATCTCCATGAAACCAGCAGGAAGTGTCCTACATAATAGCCAAGTGGAGAACAAATTACCAATATCAATATTAAATGAAAAAATACATAGAATTTGTCAATTAGCAAACAAACCGTTGATTTCCATAGCTGAAAATGTAATTCTACACACAGAAACATAGAAAGAAAAATTAAGTTGAAAAAGTTAGACTGAACTGAATCAAATACTAAATCCACATACTGACATACCTCAGGTCACGAGTTTCGAATTTCGGTGTGAGTGTTCTGGTTTTTGGGAGATTCCACCAACAAAAAAATAGAATTGTCCACACGGAAAGAAGGAAAACAGTATTAAGTTGACAATATCCAAGAATTGAAGGCAAAATAGTGAGAAATCGATAGGTAATACAATTATTTTAGAAGAAAAGACCCAAAACTTAAGCAAATCTGAAATCGACATACCTTGCGGTCTGAAAAGAAAATCTGAGGTCGCGACACTGCTGCAAATCGCAGCAAGATGAAGAAACGGTGCTATAGTCATCGATTCAATTTGCCAATTTCAAGAGGAGAGATGGGAGGTTTCTATTCAAGAAGAGAAAAGCATTGTACAATCGACAACAACAAATACAAGATAGACAAGCAGCAATAATTTTGGTGGAAGAGACTCGCTAGGGTTTGCTTTCTTTCTTCAAGGAAATGAGGGGAATACTGTAAAATCAAAACTAATACTATATAGTCTATACTAACCTTATCACTTCGTTTAGGGACGGACGTCGATGCCAAAGGCGAGAGGCTAACAACACATATACGGGAGGCTGAAGAAGGTAGCAGCGCTCGCCAAATCTCTCTTTGACTGAATCGGTCACAGGCTCGCAACAGAAGCTAAATCGGTTAGAGGACGGGAGGAGGGATGAGGGGCTGAATCGGTTAGTATTAGAGGTCCAATCGCCGGCAAAGTGAAAGACGGATTTTGGATTTGGTGTGCGCACGGGGAATTAGTTTCTCCCTGTGGGCGCACGGGGAGTTTTAAGCGTAAATTTTTCTGCCATTTTTTTTTAAAACCTTTTCTCACCCGCGCACACTAAAATTGACTTTTCTTTTCCTTTTTTTTTCTCTCTATAATGCCCTTTTATTTTGATACACTAGGGATAAAATAACTCCCCGTGCACGCACGGGGAGATCCTGTGTCCCCGTGCGCGCACGGGGAGTTCGTTTCTCCCCGTGCGTGCACGGTTCTCCCCCATACGTTTTGCTCTGATTTATTACTATTTTCAACTCCATCATTCATTCACGAAAATATACTGCACATTCATGGACCTACTTAATACCAATATCCAAGAGTCAACAAATTCAAGTGAAACAAAAAACTCATTTAACTGACAGGATGAAGCTGTAAGTTTTCTTTAACTTTTCTCGAACTTATAGTAGTAGATGCCGTGCAGCGCGGTTATAAACTAAAGTTTTAATATCTAATACGAAAGAGAAATTGTACTGGAGAATAAAGAAGTTTGTGAGAAGGACGACAAATAATACTAAACAAAAATGACAAAATCGGAAGTACTAACAAAAAAAAATGATTTCAACACTCTCGACCAAAACATCGACCAAATCTTCTCGGAAGGCAGGGAACAACGAAAATACAAAACTAAACAAAAACGAAAAAACCTAAACCATGCTGCAAAAAAAAAATGAAATAAAAAAGCAAAAATATAACAACAATGAATAGAAATTTTACCTTCAAGAAATTGTTTTGTCACTTCACAGTGTGTGATTGGAATTGCATTTGCATGTTATATATATAGTGTACAAAGTGGCAAAATACATACAGTGTGAGTAAGTCGGTTGTAGATAACTTTTTAAAATTAATTAAGGCTGCAAATTTCACCGATAGAAGCTTGAACAATTTGGTAGAAAGTGGCATAATACATACAGTGTGAGTAAGTCGGTTGCAGATGATTTTTTTTAATAAAACAAGGCGGCAAATTTCACAGCCAAAAGAATTAAGTCAACAATTGTGGCGACAATCCATATTAGCTACAGGAACAAACCAGTTTCAATGTGAAATGAATGAACAGTGATCCTGGAACTGGCGAGATAATCCATATTAGCTACAGGAACAAACCAGTTTCAATGTGAAATGAAGTGTGACAAAAATGAACAGTGATCCTAGCATTATTACTTTTAAGTGTGAGACAATGTGACAAAAATGAACAGTGATCCTGGCATTCTCACTTTTAAGGATAGGAGTGATAAAGGAAGTCAAATAAAGACGAAAGTAAAGGTGATTCTAGTCATCATTACATATGGCATGTTACATAACCAGTTCAAAACCGGTTCTTCACGTGAAAAGTAGGGCAACGGCTCTCTTTTAAAGCCAGCTCAAAAAATCAGTTCTTCATGTGAAAATTAGAGCATGGAATGAACAGTGGATTTCGGATCCTCTCTTTTAAAGGAAGTAGGATAATTAAAATTATTTACAAATTCTTAGGGTTAGTTCTCAAAGCATGTCACGGGATAAATCAAACCCATCAGGCCAAGTCGATCGTAAAATATGAAAGCAGTGAATTGAAATACCAGAAAACCACCGCAACAAAGTTGCAAGAACTTGCTCTTAAGTGCTCCAGATGGGATTTGCCAAACAAAAAAGAAGGCTTCTAATTATAGGATTTCTGGGGATTTGAAGGACTCCATTAGATCATCTGATATTGGTGGACTTAAATTCTTTCATTGTATCGCACCAGCCATGGATTTTCAGCTTGGAGGGTTAAATTTACATAGGTTGAACTATCCAAAATTCTGGTCTTATTAAGTAGTTTTCATCTTTTGGGAATATGTCAAATGATTCAGAATTGATGTAAAACAAATTGATTAAACAAATTAAAGGTTTTTGAAGCACTTATTATAGATAATGAATTGAAAACCAAAACCTTAATTATGTAATTAGATGTATGTTTGTGGTTGAGCAATAATTCAAGTTTATGTTCGTGGTGGAGTAATAATTTATTTTATTAAAAAATATATTAATATTCTAATTATGTAATTTTACTTAAAACCATTTAAATAAATAAGAAAAGCATTAAAAACTTTAGTCCACTTTGTAGTGGTAATATAATTACCCATAAGTTGTGTTTGATACACAACTTTTCCTTGGAAAATGGAAAAAAATTTCCATTTCCATGCAAAAGAAGTGTTTTATGGTTCTTTTGTTTTTTTGCAATGAAAATAAATTTCATAACAAGTTATAAATTTTTTTCATTTTAATAGACAATTTTCATGTAAAATAAAGTCAAACGAATACTAAATTTTGACAATGGAAACAAATTTTTTTACCAATTGTGGAAAAAATATCACTTTAATGGACAATTTTCATGTAAAATTAAACCAAACGAATACAAAATTTAAAAATTTCCCATCCTGAAAATTATACCAATCAAATACATTTAATTAACAATTCCCTGCAAAACATTTTATAGGCAATTATTTTCCCTAAAATTCATTTTCTTTCCACCTATTTTCCACCCCTCAATCAAACGGACCCTTATTTCAATTTGTGGCAAATTCCTCTCGATCCTTTTTTTACCCTCTATCGTCTATGACCTTTCATTTTTTTCCTCGTATATCATCCTATTGACAGAATTTGTCAAATTTTGCTTGTAAAATGACAGTTTTACCATTTAATGTAAAATTAATTATAAAGGGAAAAACACCCCTAGTTTGAGTCCCCTTTTTTTTTTTGGTTAAAATGCATTTTGAAATAGTGTTTTGTAAGAGAATGTGTTGTTAAAAAATAAGGAAAAGTTTTGAATTTATATGTAAAAATTTATGAAATAATGTGTGATTAAAAATAAATTTTGAAAAAAATGAATTTAAAAAAAATAAAGGTCAAACATAGGCAGAAACAAAAATAGATTAAAATAGGGTAAATTTGTCACTAGATTCCCAACCTTTCTGATTGTGATAATTTTCGTCCATTTTCTTTTTTATTCCCTCTACTGTCCCCAACCTTTCATTTATTTTCTCATATCATCCCTCGACAACTAAAATAGGAAAAAAAATAACAAACAAAAATAAATTAAAATGATGAAAAGGCAAAAAATAAAAATAAAAAACTAAGCGTACGTTTGGTTTGCTATCTTCAACCTGTTTTCAATTTTGCAAAATATTGAAAACATTTTTGGTATGGTATTCCTGAAAATCCATTTTCGAAAACAAGTTTACAATTATAATATAAAACACAAATGACAAAACGCATTTTTGATATTTTTAGTAAAAATTTTGAAAGCCCTCAAAACATGGAAAACATGCTTTTAAATAAAGTTTTAAAACTTTCAAAAAGTAAGGCCCTGTTCTCTTTACTGTTTTCAGGCTGTTTTTGGTTTTCAATTTTTCAAAATATTGAAAACGCGTTCTCTTTGTTATTTTTGAAAAAAAAAAAAAATTGTACAGAAAACAATGAAAACCACGTTTTGAATGTTTTCAGTCCAAAACACGGTGCTTTTACAAAACACGGAAAATGCACATTTTCAACCACACTCTCAGTGTTCCCGTTCCCCTACCTTCTTCAATTTCCTTTCACCCCCTAAGCCCACACCTCCCAGCCTCTGCAAGAGACATTTCCAACGCCGGTCGACTTCGAAATTCCCGACGCCCTTCTACCTCCGCTCCCTGTCAAAACTGTGGCGCGACCCGTTCATCTTGCCCCCTACCCGTAGCCTCAAAATAAGGTAAAATTAACCTATTTTTCTGTGACTTGTCCTCATTAATTGCTCTTCTTCAATCAGATCTGTGTGATGCCTTCATTAATTACTCTTTAATTTTTATGTTCGTTTAATGATAAAAATAAATACTGTGCTTCTACATTTATTTGAATGTGCCCTTAAAATGCTCACACAATCGATGTTATTTGATATGTAAATCCCTGAATCGGGCACTGGCGTATAGGGCTGCCAGAGAAAGAACTTATATTGTTAATATGGGATTGTTGTATTGAATTTGTGGGGAAACTACAAGAGTCAGAAATGAACATACACATGAATTGGTTAAGTTTGTGTCTATTGAACATATATTTGTTCTGAATGTAATTGTTGGATTAGCAATGTTATGTCTGCCATGGTAGAACCAGATTTTTGTCTCTACTGAGATGTGGCTGAAAGCTGTGGAGAGGATCATGATGTTGATGGTTAACAAACATTTTTCGTGTTAGACTTACGTAGAAAAATTGTTAACTGACCGAGTCTCGGAGTCTCTTTCAATTATCTTTCAGACTGATATTTGGTTACACTCAATCAGTGATGATAGCTATTTGTGGTGATATCTATTTCAATGTTGATGATATCTTTCAAACTGATATGTGGTGAATTTTATATATATGTACCCCTTGACTGGAAGATAACCATTTCATGTTGCCACTCTTATGCTTAATTTCATTTCAGTTTTCTTTTCATTTGCTTTATGGCTAATTGAAGAGGAATCAAAATAAACACTGATATTAATCTGTTTTTTGTATACATTTCTTTATTTTTCATTTTTAAGAGTCATTTT